ATTTCCTCTCATGAGTTCCATGCAGCCGAGGCAAAAGCTCAGACGCGAGCGTGCGGCTTTCAGATTTGCTTTTCTTTCACGAGCACTCGCGAAAGGAAAGCAAATCTGAAAGCCATGTGCCCGCGCCTATGCGTTTGCCTTTGCTGCACAAACTCCTGGGATAGAGTATAGTGTGAAACGGAGCGCCTTGTTCAGAGAAGAGGAAAACGGACTCCTATGACTGTCAAATTCCACGCCTCAACGCAAATGCTGCGTTAACTAATCTTAATATATATATATATATATATATATATATATATATATATATATATATATATATTAATAATTACTTTTTTTTTTAAGATGCGGTGTTTTTTAGGCGGATCACGAGAAGGGCATTTTATAAACGAAATTCCTCTCGGACTAATAAATTTGAGTAAATGTTGCTGCTAGAAGAGCAAGGGCTCTCGAGAGGCGGTAAAGGCTCACGCATCTATCTGAGTTCTTATTTTTAATAATGATGTTTAAATTTCATAAGAACGGAGGGACATTGGGAAAAGGCCTCCCTCGGAGGCTTGACAAGCCCTTAACCGCGTGCATTTACAGCCGCAGCGTCGCAGAAGAAAAAGTAAAAAAGAACACTTGAACATAAAAATAAAAATTTTAAAATTCTGATAGTACGCAAGTTTCAGCTAATCAGAAACTACATATCTGTGTTGTAAGTTACTGGCAGAACTACTTAGGTCACTGACTACTGTCCTTGTAAGAGTATTTATAAGATTAACTCCCATAAGATGATAGAGTAACTGCAGAGTAAGTAAAATATGCATGCAAGAGTCTAATGGCGACCAGAAGAAAAATAATCTTTTACCAACAAAAACGCATTTGACTGACCGATTTGAGGACATTTACCCATCAATGTTTGGAATATTATGATACGTTCTGGGCCATCAAACTCCTGAGAAACAAAAAAACAAAATGAGGCAATTTAGTTAATTATAGCAGGATTCTGGTAAGAGGAGAACACATGTGAAAGGTAACTTAAGTCGAAAAATCCCTACAGATTCCTCTGAATTCTATATACCACAATTTGTAAGATTTGTTTTATGTTTCGGCAGTCCTATTTCACTCTGCGCTGTTAAATCCATTTTGTTATCATAAAATAAGTTACAGACATCAAGATCTACACTACATGCAAGGCGATCTGATCTGCGTTGCCAGTCGTGACGCATTTTGAAAATTTCAACGAAGAGGCTGGATTTATTTTAGCTGAGCCGTCTCGTACGATAGAGGTTAGACCCAGGCAAACCAGGAAGCAGTTGTCGGGAATCAAGCGACTTTCCTCTTAGGCATACATAATGTAGGCACATATTGCCGCCGGGAGAGATGCCAGCCCATGACCCCGCTCGTTGGATGCATGCCCATCGACGCTACCCTAGCGCGATTAATTACCGAGGCATCACAATAGTGCTTGCGAAAGTCAACGAAATTGCGGACGGGGTAAGGCCTGCAACAAACACGTCAGTCGAACGGTTGAACACCAACGGCTTGAAAAGGGAACTTTTGCCAAAAGTTTAGTATATAATTAGTTCCACTTTATGTGCGAGCGAAGCCTAAGCTGCAAGCTCGACCATGTTGCCCTGAACAATGTTTGCACCCGCGTTCTTGGTAGAGACCACCCTGATAGAGACGCTGAAGTCCCGGAGCTCACTCTTTTATAGCTTCGACTACTTTGTATAACAATGTTTCTGAAGGTTCAAGTGCGAGATGTAATTTTCTATTTTCTTGATGCACCTGAGACTGGTTGGGGAATTAGAATATGGTTGGGTAATTAGAGGAATCCAGAGTGGTAGTTTAATTAAGACTCGGGTTGTTTAAAAAAGGATAAATCTACACCAGATCTCCTGCGCCATCTCTGTACTATATTTTTCACATGACTGCGAGCCTCCACGATGCTGCCATTATATATGCATAGCGCGACACTGTGCTAAAGCGCAAATGCAGGTAATTTTTCTTTCTCCTAGAATTGAAAGGCTGTCATCGAGACAATTAGTGTTGTGTAAAGTGTTCATTTGGGGCACTAACGCCTAAGTTGTAAATTTTGGTGCCTTCTAAAACGGTTTTGAGGTACGAAGCGAAGAAGCGCCAATATTCTGTTGGAGCCAACAGTGTCGCGCCGTGTACATTTCAGTGTAAGGTTGTTGTCCCGCGTTAGACGGTAAGTCGAGACCAGATCTAATGCGTTGAGCAGCACCGGGTTCAGCTATCGTAACCATGTACTGTATGCGACCTGCAGTAATCGAGATAAAAAGCAAAAACATCTCAAATGTGTCAATTGAAAATTACTTATTGCATTAACCGTTAACGTAAGTCTGTTATTGCTGAAGTCACTGGCTCTACGGATGGCAACAGTCTCTTATCATTCTTATTGAGTTTACGAGAAATGTTGATTGCTGGACATTTAAGATCGCCGTCAAGTTTAACGCAACTGTGATGGTTTTTAGGTACATTGTCGAAAGATTATAGTGGTGGTAATTTAACGTGACTCGCCCCACAAGATTTTTTTTCCCCGACCAGAATGTTATGTTGTTATTGCAGAAGTGTGGTAAGCTGGACGAGTTGGTATGCTGACATTGTGAACAGAACAGCGCTCAAAAAGTCAAGGACAGAGAAAAGGAACATGCACGACACAGAAGAGAACGTGGTGAAAGTCACGCTGCAGTTAGGGTGACCACCCGTCCCGCGACTCGCGGGACTGTCCCGCATTGAGGGCTCGTGTCCCGCGTCCCGCGAGAAAATCTCAAATCTACAAAATGTCCTGCATTTCATACTGTCGTAAAATTCACTCTGCAACTCATGGCGCTGCCGAACAACGAGGCACGGGGAAGCGCGGAGGTTGTTAGTAATCGTTTGAATCGCGATGATACGCCATTTTCTATCCAAGCGTTGCGGGAAGCGACCGTCGTTCTTGCAGGAGGTCTGACGAGCATGCGCCGTTGTGCATTTCCCCTTGGTGGCGAAATATCGTAAGAGAAAATTGTTCGCCAAAAGTTTAAATATAAATTATTGTAATTATTTTCAAGTCGCTGTGTCAGTGCAAAAAGGTTGCTGTGGATTTTTTTTAGTAAGGACAGCCATTTAAGGCAAAAAAACCTGCAACTCACAACGGTCGAAAAAGAACCTAATGTTAAAAATTTGTGCAGGAACATTTTGATAAAAATAGCATTGACACGAACCAATAATCCGAGAAAGATTTACCGTTTCTTATTTCCATTGGATGCATTGATTTCTGCTGCAGTCGATTTTTATGTTTTCAACTTCGACACATTTATCATAAAAATATACATATCACAGGAAGTGAACATTATTTCAAGTTAGTTGCTGCTGTACAATTTGCAGGTGCCTAGGTTCGTGGTGTGCATGTTCATAAATTCCTCCCCCCCCCCCCCCCCCCCCCGCGTTTTCCCGCATTTTGCTAGCAGTAAGGTGGTCACCCTAGCTCCAGTGCCCCAGAGCGTGTCACACACGACACAACTCATCTGCTGTCTTTGCCCCGTGATTAAAAGCACAACAATAATTGGACATTATCGAAACAAGACGACTCGCGAAATTTCGGAAGCGCATAGCATTAATACCTTGGGGGACCGGTGCATTAGCCACCCATCAGTGACACATGCTTCAAACAGAAACCTTGTTTTTAGATCGTACTATGGGGCAAAGTCATCTTAGATGGTTTTGCGTCGTGTGCGACACGCTCTGGCATTGCGTGTCAGAGCGTGCACGTTGTCTAATTCCTTCTGTGTATAAATTTGGTTGCGAGTCAGCGCTTATGTGTCGTGCATGTTCCTTTCCTCTGTCCTTGTCTTTTTGTGGGCTGTTCTGTTCATTATGCCCTTTAGCGTGCTACAAAATGCGGAGGCATTTGGTGTAACACTGTATTGCCACTCATGCCGTCAATCCGCCAAATGCCATTCATTGTCTACAAAGGACGAACAGTTTGATGGTGTAAACATATACATAGAAAGCTTTAAAGAAAACTCGCCGTTGGAACGCGCTCAACACAGCACGATATTATTAACAATATACCATCTATTTTATTCGCAGTTATTCGTAATTTTCAACGATTGGACCAATGGCGATATTGAAACGACTGCATCGCGTACCTTCTCTGCTGCTGTAATTCCAAAATATAAGCCTCGCCCCAAAGTTAGTGTTCTGGAACTCACATTTTGATTCAGCCTGAAAAACTGGATTACCAAGTTGCCTTCAAGGCAGGCACGTAGCCAGGGGGGAGGCCCCACGGGCCTCCTCCCCTCTCCCCCGAAATCTTCCATTTTGCTGGGACCTCCTCTCCCCCCTCCCCCTCATACAGCATTTTGTCATGGGCGCCCCCCCCCCCCCCCCCCCCTCGAAACAAAATCCTGGCTACGTGCCTGCTTCAAGGCATGGAAATTTGAAGCTCGCGTAGTTCACGCCCATAATCATATTCAGTTGTCGGGCCAAACAGCCGCGTAAGGCACAGGAGCTGCTTCGACTTCCTTCTGATTCGTCAGAACACCTATACTCCGCAACAGATTTTCTTGGCATGCAGTGGAAGGTACAGGCACGCGTTCCCTCTCCCATTTTGAGAGCTGAATAGAGCTGTGCGCAGGCCACGACCAACTCTATGGCGCAGGCTCTCCTCCTCTCCCCGGTAGGGCCAAGAAAAATTGTCACGAAACAATAACAGCAATGAAACAAAATATAAATTGCATACGAATGACAACAGGGCAATAACAACAAGCGTTGCATCGCCGACCGTGACCGTAGTCACCCGGGCGATCATACATCAAGCACCGTCTCTGTTTCAACACTTTCACGACACAATAAGCCCGGCTCAGGCATCGGTGGGGGTGTCGCCTTCCGCGTCTAAAACAAAGTTCGCTGCCAAATATACGCTTGTTGTTTTTTGCGGAACCGTAATCGCCAGCGCGCTAGCATTTCAGCGTCCTTGGAACCGATATTTCGTCAGCGGAGGAAGCATGGCTTGGCTCTTTCAAAACGCGGGTCCTCTTACAAGGACATCGCTTTCCGACACTACAAGAAGGGACGTTTTGACCGCGAAAGCGCAACCCAACCGACCAGATCGTTTCTGTCTGCTGCATTAAGCACGTCAAAGATGTTGAGAAGCCGTGTGGTACTCGCGGGTGCGTTCGTCACGCTTCTGGTAGGTTACGTGCACTCCACGCCGTCGTGTCATCTACGAGAACGTCCCCTGGACCATCTCTACGTCTGTACGGGATTCACGAGTCCCTCCGATTTTGAGGAGCTCATCCAACGACCCCTCTTTTATCCCAACACCACCTTCGTTCTTCGGAACAGTACCCTGGACCACCTTCCGGAAGGCGCCTTCGCCAGACTCAGCGTCAGGGACCTGGAACTCAGGAATGTGCAACTCACGTCGTTCGCGGGCCACGACACCGCTCCTTTCTCGGGGCTCGAAACGAGCCTAAAGAAGATCAGTTTTACGGAGGACAGTAGCTTACCCGAGTCGTGGGGTGTTTTGAAAAACCTCAGGAACCTCACGGCCCTCGGGCTCGCCAGGATGACGCGTCTGAACCTCACCAGGGACTTCGAGAACCTGCCGAGCAACGTGAGGACTATTGCCGTTGTGTCGTCCACCATCGAGTCAGTTGATCCGAACTGGTTGTCCAACATGGACAAGCTGGGTGCCGTCGTTTTGCGCAGCTCCAATTTCGGTCAAGTTAATCGTGCCATGTTTCCCACGACGGCTCCCAACATGTGGCGCATCGATCTCTTGTGAGTATCGCAGTCACGCCTGTTATTTTATTATTGCAACCATGTTCAGAGACATATCACGCAGCAGCTTTTGAGTCTTGACTATGATACCTTGAGATACAACTGAGGGTTACCGCGGACATTGTTTTGCTTTAATATTCCAAGGATATCATGTGCGATACGACATTTGTGTCGCCTCGGAAATTATTTGCTTACCCCGCTTCATACAAATGACAAATCTGGCGGTCCTATATCGACGTGCTTCCGTAACGCGGTCAAACGTTAATCTGAAATTGGATCATTAATTCAGCTCAGGTGCGATGTACGCGATATGTGTACAAGATAGCATATATAATAAACTATATACTGTAAGTATAAGATAACAGACATATTGTATATAGGTACATATTACGACACTGTTAGCGCGAACATGACATCGGCGCCTTTTCGCATTTTATTATGAAGAATATTCGTGGGCACATAATTTTACCCCTCATATTAGAGCCCTAGATGAGCTCTTTCCATAACAATGATATATTTGATGACAGCCTTTCGGTTCTAAGAGAAAAACACAGAAAACTGGCGATCGCTTGTTCGCGCTAACAGTGTCGCGCTCTGTACATATTTGATGGGATGTCGCACATATTGTACCAAATTTTGTGGTCGAACTGATTGGTCGCGAGCTTTGCAGTATATCATTCAGTTATACGTTATAATCGTAGCGTCCGGATGACGGCAAGTTTGGTCTAGTTTTATCGGGGGCGGGGGGAAGTGCTTGAGACTTCTTTTATGGGGTAAAAGGTTAAAAAGCGCGAACAAACCAGGACAATAAAGAAACACGGACGACAGGACAGGCGCCTGTCCTGTCGTCCGTGTTTCTTTATTGTCCTCGTTTGTTCGCGCTTTTTAACCTTTTATTCAGTAATGGACCGACTAGCCCAAACCCAAGTTTTAATGCAACATATTTTATGGGGTTTTTATTGTATAGGCCGCAAAGTTATCACACACAGACCTGTCATAACTGGTCACAGAGGTATGTTAAAAATAAAAATGAAAACATTTTCAGGACTTTGAAGGCTATACATTGGCCGTGTTGTCCATCCAAGGAGCTGTAAGGTTGAACGACCTCGTGTTCAACCCCCCCCCCGACGTTACTTCGAGAATATCTCTTCGCGTCTTCGTGCATATTTCCGCTCTCCCTCTCCAAATGACGGCTTGCTCACAGTTCAATTAGACGGTTTTATTTAGGGCAGTATTTTCTCGTTCAAACCTTGACAATTTTTCTTTTCTTTTTTTTTTTCTTCTAGGCTCTTAGATAACACAGTGTGATTTTAGTTTAGCAAACCCGATTAGACATCTCGGAGTTGCGTCTCAGGTTTCTTGATGAGCTGATGCGTTATGCAGAGACTGATAACAATTTGTTTGAGGTTATAGGTGTCAATATAGTGATGGAACTTACTGTGGCCTGGAGAACGTAGGAAAGAGGGGAAGGGCACTTGAGTTCGACGAGATTTTTGGATATTTTTATGTGAATTATAAGCGTTGCTGCTAAGCTTGAGGCATTGGACTCGGCCTCAACACTGGCTAAGTGGTGCCACTTGTCATATTCAAAGGGTTTAGCAGTGTTTGTCGATCAGCCCATGTATTTTTTGTGTGCACTTTGCGCTATTTCTTAGTTTCCTATCGGATTTTCGCAGCGTTAGCTGTCACCTGACAAAAAAAAAAATCAGCTTTCTGGAAACAAGAGCTGTCTTGAGTAGTACCGTAAATTAAGGGACATGTTCTTCTATCGCCAGTTGGCGCGGCTCAAGCGTAATAAACGTCACTTTAACAGTGTGAATCTAGAACTTGTACAAACATTATTAACTGAATATTCGTGTTGAATAGGCACCGCAATGCAGACTTCTATACGCGGTCCAAGTACGCCCTCTGTTTTCGCCGTTTTGCTGAAGGGAAAATGGTCTGATAGTCGAGCCCTGCGTAAACGTAATCCCGGTTGCCAGACTGGTGCCCCAACGAAGCGCTTTCCACCCCTGCTGGTCATACCATGCCTTTGGAGTGTGACTGCTTACAAACGTGTGCAGCTGGAGAGGCTTATACAATAGTGCGCATATTGTTATGATCCTGAGACTAGAGTCCTGTGCGAGGTTGTGAAGCTGCGCGTGTAGGAAAAATGCAGTCATTGTCGTTGGTTTTCGTGTGAGTTGCACTTGTACTAATGCAAAGCGCTGTCACGCTATGAAGCTAAAGGTATAGGCTGTTCACAGGTTTTTTATTGTTTTATGTGGTATTAAGTGCACTCATGCAAAGCGTTGTCATTGGCATTGACCCTAAGCTCTTATGGGTGTACTCAGACATCGTAGCTCTATCCGTTTGCCAAGTCATGCTGGAACACTGTACAACTGTGGTCGGCCTTGTAGATCGTCAACCATGTCTTAATACACTCACTTTATCTTATTTACTGCTTCGCTCAGTCTCGGGTATTTCCAAGGTCTCCTGCGACGTTTGAACAGATACGATAGCGTCTTTGAGCTGTTTATTCCCCTTCATGTACCCATACCAGTGTTTAACTCTTGTTGTTGGTGGCTAAGATTGTATAGTCTAATGTAAAATGTTCTCCATCTTTCTCTTTCCAGTGCAACGGGACTCACATCAATCCCTACTGGTTTCAATGAAGGCATGCCCTCTCTGAAATACCTCGACCTGGGTGACAATAATATCACCACTATCGACGAAGCTTCAGCAACTGCTTTGTTTGACATAGGTTTAACAAAGCTGACACTTTTCGGTAAAGTTGAACTATATATCCCAAACATGTACCTTTCTGCACCGTAATTCATGATTTTGCCCTAAACAAAAGCGTTCGTGACAACAGGCAGGGTTAAGTTTGCTGTCGATCATTTCTGTACTTTCGGAAACGCGTCACGCCTAAAGGTTTTTTTTTTTTTTTAGATTAGCACGAATAAATTATTATTTTTAATATTAGTGTATTACTGTGATTATTATGATTAGTCATTTTATTTGTGTGTCATCACCTGGTATCAACAAAAAGGTCTCAGGCTCCTTGAACACATTAATGACCATTGACTGACCTGTTTATTGATTGAAATGTGAATTCTTTATTTAATATTGTTTCAGACAACCCACTTCACTGTGACTGTTCCCTCTCCTTCATCGTCAATCACCCTGACCCTCCGGTTCGTGGAAACTGCGTCACCCCTACATCACTAAAACACCGAGGTCTCACCACACTCACCACCGAAGAGTTGTGCGGCAATGCTTGAAAAAACTGGTACTGACATCCATTCCGACGCGGAGACTCTCGAGGCATCTACGATTGCGAAATAAAAATAATTTAAAAATTGTGCAGACTGGCTCGTCTTTAGTTGTCCTGGAAATTTCGTTTTCTGAAGCTTCTTTTGGCATTTATTTAGGTGTATTAACTATAGTTACAATCTGTATCTAAAACTTTTTTTGTTGTGCGCGCCCTTGTAGCTTACGTTCCTGGCCCGCCATTATAGTAATGTATATCAACATTGAAGCCATATAAAAGGCGGGCCCTAAGAAAACACTCTGAAGACTTCTTAGAAGCAGCAATTGGTAGACTTAGAAATTTGTGATTCGTCTGTAAAATGTATCTTTTAGCTGATTTAGCTGACTTAGCAAATTAAGGACTTGGTGTTCTACGGTAAATTAAATTTATTAACACACCTTAGTAATCTAACGGCCTCAATGAAGGCAGGAAGTTGTTTCGCCTAAGCCCATCTGTAACAGATAATGAAAAGTCATTCACTTTGAATTTTGCACACTTCGTTTGTTTCTAAGTCTACTTCACTGCGCTTTCAGCAAGCACAAATATGCAAACCAAAGGAAAGAAGCAGGGGCCGGGGTAGAATTTGGCTATTTTATATAGATATTTGCCATTGAAGAGATCGCAACAATTTACAACTATGCCCGCATAAAATTGATAAGTGCGCGCACGTATGCAATATGCAAGTACGCACGTAAGTGTAAAAATGGTACCGTAAGGCGTATTCAAATAACTGTTTGTTTTCTCTTGCGTGTACCTGTTATAACACGAATGTTTCAAATTGAACAATTCTCACTAGCCTCTTGGGGCCATGGAAAAACAATGTTTTTTTGTTTTTTTTTATCTACGCGTCAGAAGCTGTCGCGGGCTTGCCCTGAAGAATTGGATTTTCAGGTTATCTTGAAGTCGAGCTAATCTAGCATTGTCAGACGAGTACTCAGCGTCGGTGACGCACAGGAAAATACCTTATCCATTCACCTCAAATCGTTATCAATGGAGTGACCTCACTAGCGGAAAGTGACTGTGTTCCTATTTATTAGCGTCTATATAAGATACGAGCTGCTCTTAGGTCTTCTATAGGCGTTGCGACAATGAAGGCTTCAACGGTGTGGTTTTTGTTAGCCGCAGTGGTTGTATGTGTTGTCCAGGGGGACGAAGTTCAGCTTGCAAGAGCTAACAACGAGTTCGCGCTTAACCTTCTCAAGGAGCTGTCTTCCAGAAAGCCAGGAGGCAATGTCATCTTCTCGCCAACCGGCATCTATGAAGCCCTGGCTATGGTCTACGCGGGTTCACGAGGTGAATCTCAAGCCGAGCTGTCGAAAGTTTTGGGGCATGATGGGGCAGGACTTAAAAACCGAGACGCCGTGCTCTCTGCTTATAAAAAACTTTATGCCTTCAAGAATGACTCCGAGATGAACGTCACCCTGAACGTTGTAAACGCGGTCCTGGTTCAAGAAGAACTTCGTGTGCTGGATGGATACAAGACCGAGCTTGCAGAGGTCTTCGGCGCCAAACTGAAGACCGTCGATTTTTTTAACGAGAGTTCGCGTGTCTCATCTGAGATCAACCAGTGGGTGCGACAGAAAAGTGGAGGCAAGATTCAGAGTGTTCTTCCGGATGGTATTCCCATGAACACGGTGATGCTACTTCTGAATGCGGTATACTTCAAAGGCACATGGTTGATCAAGTTCGATCCTGAGCAGACCGTGCAGCGTCCCTTCTACAACCACGGAACGAAGTTTGTCGCGAAAGACACTATGGTACTCAGAGGAGAGATCAAACATGCTTGGCTCCTGGAGCTAGATGCGCAGGCAGTCGAACTGCCATACAAGGACGAAAGATTCGCAATGGTCATCGTTCTGCCAAACAGCAAGACTGGGCTGCCAAAACTCAGAGATAGTTTCTCTTTGAAGCTGATGGACGAAATTGACGAAGAGCTGGACGTGGAAAAAGTGCATCTCAAACTGCCCAAGTTCGAGCTGAAGGCGGGTTATGACTTGGTGCCTTCGTTGCAGAGGTTAGGGCTGAAGTCGGTGTTTACCAGTGATGCGGACCTGTCCGGGATCAGTGGCAGCAGGGATCTTGCCGTGTCGGATGTTAAACACGCGGCTGTTGTAGAGGTGAACGAAGAAGGTACTGCCGCTGCGTCGGCGACGTCTGTTGGGATTGTGGCAAAGAGTATTCCTCAAACGGCTAACTTTTATGTGGATCATCCATTCTTGTTCTACGTCCATGATGTGGAAAGCAGACGCGTTCTCTTTATGGGAGAAGTGCACGAACTGTGAGAGAACGCTTGTCACTGTTTGACATCTTTTATTACCTGAACTCTTCATTCATTATTAAAAAAAAGTTTATAATCTAGTCACCGTGCTTTAAGGCTCCAAGCCTATGCCTCTGTTGGACGTCAGCAACCTAACCACATCGGGTCTCTGAAAACTAATGTTATATATTTGAATACATTGTAACGTAAAAAAAAACTTACTTTAGAAATAAATACTGATTGAATGACTGATGTGAATAAAAATTTCTCGTTATGACCAAAGCTTCCGAAGCTTTTTGAAATCCACGGAACTTATATTGGGTTGTGGCACCGACCGTCACTTCCGCTTCACATAACGTCATTCGAGTGCGCACATGTATTTTATTTCAGTGAAAGCTGTATATTTTTTATTCGTAGTTTTATACAATTCAATAGCTGCACAGATTTATGATAAGTTGGATTAGAAACTGGTGATCAAATGTTTATATATCTATATTTGAATAACGAGATATGTCATGCTAAAACAATTGCCATTTTTGAACAGCGGCTAAAAGTGTACCCTCTTAAATTTAAAACAAGCTAAAAAAATTTAACTTTCTACAGTTAAACACAAATAGCTCCTGCCAGTTAATTTAATTAGTTCGCGTTTTGTCTTTTTCTTTTTGCCATTCTGGCTTGTTTTATTGTTCCAAAACTTGTACCTTTGGCGGATATAGTGTTAAGTTTCAAACCTGTCTCTACGACCTTGTGAAGTTTCTCACATGACAGGGGTGAATCAGACCAATGTCATCAGTAACAGGAACATCGTAGGAAATACAAATGCATTTTATGTGGAGGCTACATTTTGTAGTCATCTGGCAAGTGAATCGGTCTGACCGACACTAGAAGGTAGGTCATTCCAATAATATGCAGTTGGACTTGGAGGGTCAGAACGAAGTATCAAAGTGGTCTGAAAAATCTGAACGTCATTTCAGTGTTCTTGAGTGTGAGACTGTAGCATTAGTTATATAGCAAACAAGGATGTAATTACCATGGTCCTTAATGCTCCTGGCCCGGGAAGGGCTAGAGCAGGGGTTGCCAAGCTGCGGCTTGCGAGCCGCTTAGGCTCTTCGCGTGTTAAAGTGCGACTCGCGGCTCACCCCCTCCCCCTTACTCCCCCCCCCGGTCACACGAGCACTTCCCCAAAAAGAGAAATGGTACGCGTTTTAAATCGAAAGACAGGTTGCGGTTTGGTAGTCTGGTGCTACTGCTACCTTACGTACAGTTTGACTGCTTTTGACTCTGATAGATTGAAAGTATACTCTGTTTCATACTTAGCGTGCAACGCTGTCAAAGCTACTGGCGCGAGCGCGTGGCTTCATCTATGGTTTTGTTTGCGCGAGAACGCGTGCAAATGATAAACGAGATCAAGCCCCACGCTCGCACCAGTAGCTTTGACAGCGTTGCACGCTAAGTATGAAACAGAGAATAGTTCAAGCTTCAATTGTTGCTCTCAACAAAATCCCCCCCCCCCCTCCCTTTTACCGCGGTTCTCAGATATTTTATGGTTTTGTTTGCGGCTCTTAGGCTGGGTCAGCCTGGCCACCCCTGGGCTAGAGGTATCTAAGCGCTAATCAAAAGCTTTGAGATAAGACGTTGAAGGTTCACATACTTCATCAACGCTATGGACACCTTCAGCGCGAGCTAAGTTCGAAACTGAATTTTGTACCTTCACTTGTTTCAACGTTATGCCTGGCAATTGAAACCAATACTGGATACACAGAAATCGAATAACCACTGACTTCTAGACAAATGATAATCTCGCGTGAAAACATAGGGATCACGTGCACTTTTAATATATAAAATATAAAAGGCAATTAAAGTGAAGTGGAGCAATATAAACGGCAATTAAAGTGAAGCTCACTTATGGCTGCGCCCGTGCACAACCTTATAAAAGTGCACCCCTTTTTCCCTCACTCTCTTCATTAAGCTTTATTGAAATGCCATTTCTTCTGTTATTGGGGCAAAAGGCCGTGCTTGGTTAGCTTCGCACAATATTTATGACAGGTTTTCGCCATAGGGTTCTGCGTTTACGGAGTTTATTTCTTGTGAAATTTGGAGGGTGTTTTTGAAAGTTTAACATATCACGGAAACGCAGAGTTTATCGGGGTTTATTTATGATAGATTCCCAGATCTCCAAAATGTAAAGCTTTTTTTTTTCTTGCTTTGTGCTCATTTTTTTTTTTCGAATTCAATAAAAATATATTTGGATAAACTTGCCCTAAGTGCATAAGAACTCACCTGCACCGAATAATATTTATTTAGCTTGTTTTATGCATTCGTACCCTTGCCATTGGTACTATTAACTGCCCGTAATAAGGCTTACAAACGGGGGTTGCTTGAATGACAGTCGACATTTTAAGATCACTGAAATCGTTTACTTGTCTCGGGAAAGCTCGTTTCCTTCTCGTCGCATTCCACCGCTCCACGCCGCGCAACCGCGGGGTGTAGCGGTTTAGTGCGATGGGAAGAAAACGGGATAGAATCTTTAGCTGGCTCCTATGATCATAATTTTCACTGTTGTAGAAACACAACCGCACATTTCTCTAAAAAACCCAAATTGAAAAAAAAAAAAAAATTGAACGGTGGCTTTTGTCGGGACCGAAAATTACAATCAGAACGATGAACCTCCTTTTTCGTTAAAATGTTTGAGATTTGAAACAAAACAGGAGGAACCTCACTTTAGAATCGCTGACCCAAACTCTTTTCTCGAATACCGTGTTACTCCTGCTATTGTTGTCGTTTTTTTCTGACCACCTTGACATTGAAATTATTTTTTTTTCGGATGAATCCTAATTGGCTAGAATTTTATAGACGATTGTTTTTCAGATTTTATCGGATTTATCCGAAAACATTATCGCATGTATATAAATTTAGTTTATTATTTTTAAACCCTTCGCGGGCCCTGGACTGAACACAGCTAGCCGCGTCGACGTCATCGGCTGCCTCCCCCCCCCCCCCCCCCCCCCCCCCCCCTCCACGCCACGGAAGAGTATACTCGAGCAGAGCAATCGAACACAGCCGGTGCGATTTAACATTTGGTGTCACCATGGCAACTCGTCCTGACCACAACAGGGCGTGCTTTTCGGCCGACGCGAAACATGACGGAGCGTTGGTCGCGTCCGATCCGCGACGGCGAGTACACGTCGGTCATCTACGGCCTGATCCGGGAGGGCCGCTTCGCCGAGGCCGTTGGGGCGCTCAGCGAGTGCAGCAGGCAGCAGGGCGCCTGGTCCAGCCGGGCCGCCCTCTCGCTGCTCGGCTTCTGCCATTACCAGCTCCAGGAGTTCGACCAGGCGGCCGGCTACTACGAGCAGCTGTGCGCGCTGTGCCCGGAGGAGGGGCAGTACGCGCTGAGTCGGGTACAGTCCCTGTACATGGCCAGCAGGTACGAAGAAGCCCTCCAAGTGGCGGCTCAGCTCGCAGACGAAAAGCCGGACCTGAGGGATTCGGCAAGAAAGCTTGAGGCAGCCGTGCGATACGCCCAGGTAGGCACGTGTCGGATTGATGGGTCTGGCTTTGAGAAGGGGGGGGGGGGGGGGGGGGGGGGGGAGTCGAGTTTGCAGTGAGCTGTGACGTCACGGGCGATGCGATGACGAGAGCCTTAACGATGCACTTTTGGTGCTGACTGACTGGCTCCAGCGGATCGTCGGCTGAGGTTTTAGTCAAGTTGTAACAGTATATACATAGAAAACATTATAGCATTGGCCACCAAAGGCAAGTGGGGTTGTATTTATTCTGCAGCGCATGGAAGGCTCGGGGTTCTGAGGCATCTCTCCACTTGGGTTGCTGCCAGCTGCGTTAAACTACTGGAATTGCCGCTGCTCTCTAAACCTCCGCCTTTCCTCTTCACGCGTGCTCCGTAGGGTAATCAACAAGCCGAAGACACGCTATCCGAGGCCGGAAGGAGCTAACTATAAATATAACCTGCCCTGACTAGGAGCAGTTATTCTAGACTTGTCGTCGGCTATTTTGTGCTATTCGCGTCTCCAGCTCGTTGCTCGCCCTCCCGCGGCAGAGAAGTGAAGTGTTCTAGTGAGAGTCCCGCGGGTTTCCTGCTCAGTGGGCATGGCGGAACTGCTCGCGTTCATGACTCGCGAAATGTCATTTCCGAATGCAAACAACGCTCTTCATTGTCCCAACGTATAGTGCTGCAGCCGACATGGGATTGTACCTTATTAGACAGTTTGCGTATGGCATATAAAAAAGGAAACGCAAGCGCTGTGCGTTTACGTTAAGGTTATGTGCTCCACGCTGTGTATGCGCGTCATCGAAATGCTCCAATCCGAAACCGAATCCAATCCGATCCGAAGTTTTGGGTACACGCAGTGTAGAACACGCAATGCTTGCGATCGCTCGTATTCACAATACTAAAACTCGCTACTGCTTCGCCCGTTTCCAACACTAACGAAACGTGCTGCAGTGAGCAGACGTGCAAGCGGGTACTCTCGGAAATAGGGGGTGTACTAGTTAAACCCCTTGTCTCGTATATGACACCCCGTCAACTAGAATTCGACGTTCAGTCGACTGATATTGAACCGACGATACCACCTTTCACAAGCGGCTTTAAGGTCCACTGATACAGCTTATTAAAATAGCTGATATACGGGTTAAAGACTACAGGAAAACAGTCAAGGCTTTGTTTGCCCTGCTGCAAAACCTCAGTGTTTTTTTTTTTATGTAAGATTTGATACGTACATCAGCTATTTAGTAAGTTATGCCTAGGGCTCCGTGTTTTCGGAGTTTATTTTTCGTGAAATTTGGAGGGTGTTTTTCGGAGTTTATTTTTCGTGAAGGGTGTTTTTTTGGAGTTTATTTATTATCGAAAATTCGGTGTTTATCGGTGTTTATTTTTCGTGAAGGGTGTTTTTTTTTGGAGTTTATTTATTATCGAAAATTCGGTGTTTATCGGTGTTTATTTTTTGTAAATACCCCATTCTCCGAAGTTCGGAGATTAATTTTGCAGTGTTTTCTATTTAACGATAATAAATAATAACCGGATGCAAACGTATGCCAGATAAAAAATAAGACGCGCTTGTATCAATTAAGATTTCTTCAGTTGAATTTGGCGTTAGTGTCAGTGGCAATACGATTTGTCCCACGACAGAAGTCGCACACAAGTGTGGCTTCGATAAACGTCGATACCTTAAAATCAATAAACTGCCGGAGGTAGCCGCAAAGAACCTCGTAGTCATTCCACCAATCTATCCCGCGGCCGCGCGAGGTGGAGTGGTTAAAGATGTAATAGAGAAGTTTCAACTGGCCCTCTTCCCTATTTTATACAATCTCTATGGTCCACAGCTTTCAGTGTTACCCCCAGAAGCATACCCTCTCCTTTCTCTAAACCCCAAATCCCATGGCCCAAACTGGAAACCAAAAGAGTTGCTTTTGTCGTGGCACAAATGGTACGATGACCTGTTTCCCTGAACGAACCTTGACGAGACAAGCCGTAACACCCCCTTTTGACACCGGTCCGAGGCTTGAAAGATAATTATGGTGTCATTTTCCCAGGACCATTGATCCTGCGCTGCTAAAATTTTAAAATAAATTGTTTCCTTTTTTTTTTTTAGGGGGGGGGGGGGGGGGGGGCGGGGGTGGCATGGGCACATAACGATTCGGAGTTTATCGGATAAATCCGAATTGACAAAAAGTTTACCGGCGGTTGTTTTTCGGAGTTTCTCGGATTTATCCGGAAATCGGAGCCCTAGATGCCACACAGCTATGAAGCCGCTCGCGAAAGTTGGTGTACCGTCAGTTTGACGTCAGTGGACTGAATGTCGAAATGTAGTTTTGGGGTGTTATATATACGGGACAAGGGGTGTAATTACTACACCCCTAAATTCTGAGAGTGTAAGCCTTCCATCGAACTGGAAGGCGGAAATCGGCAAAACTGTGGGATGTCAAAATTATAGAAACAAAATGTTCTAAAAAAAGTTGTAAGTAAAAAAAAGAAAGAAAAAAAAAACGCAGTTCTTTATTTTTTTTATTTTATTTGGGGGCATATGGTTCGGAGGGATTGACGGCGATTTTGGAAGTATTGTCAATTGTCAAATGTCACGACCTTAATAACTCTACCCCTGCAATTTGTGTAATTTGACATGGATTTCTTAGAGTAGCTAAGAATGTTTTTATGTATTTTAGACTATTTTTTTATTTTATAACTTGTTAAATAAAACTTCTGCAATTGGCACCTGGGATGATCCTTCACACATTTTTGAGTGCCATACTTGTTCGCGCGTTTGGAAATGCACCATAAGCAAGAAATTATATTAGAGCCTGAAAAAATACGTATTAAAATATTTTAGTTGTATTATTATTATTAATAATACAAATTGCGGCAATGTAGGCTTCCAATTAACGCCACGATCACAAAAATACGCCATTTAACCATAATAGTATTTCCAGAAAGGTCTCATTTGTTCTCTTTTTAGCATATAAAAGTTCTGACATCGTTATCAAGATAGGCAAACAGTCAAACGCTGGATATAATATAAAGTCCTATGCGTCACGCGTTGCTGTAAAAAAGCACACACACTTGTGCTGTCTGACTCGGATTCCGTCTTTGGGTTTTATATTGAGGACAGCGTTTCTTAATTCATACGTTTTGTGCACATATTTTAAGATCACGTTTTGTGGCGATATTTTGTAAAATTCGGATTGATTCTGTTATTCTTGTGCTTAGCAATTAATCATCTGAATACCTCCAAACCCATTAAAAGGCCCGCAGTTCATTATTTCACGTGACAATTATCCGAGCGAGAAAAGGTAGCATGAACACACAAATATCAGCACTCTTTTTTGTGTGCAATATTCTATGTTACCTCTAAGGGGTATGGAAGGCCCTGTCTTTAAAAGGACACTAAACTCTCCAAAATGTCTTGAAGTGCCTTGATCGGAGACGTACGTCACAAAATAAATTCTCCGCGAAAAACTTCCTTACCTCAATAATTACGCTGTGAGACACACCTTGACTTATGAAAGAATCCGAAATTAATACATATACTGAGAAATAAATATAAAATAGTGGCTAGTTTCGGTTTCGTTCCCGATTTAAAAAATTGCTCCTGGTGTAAATAATACGCTAAACACCGTTTTTGTTCTCAGGATAAGAAGGTGGCCCGCGCTCATAACATCCTAGCTTCCTCGTATAAACAGGAATAATTTGTGTAGCTCAGTGAAGCCAGCACAGTAGACAGGCTCAGCGACTGGTATACCGGCACGCATCTCCGACCCCCAGTAAAACCGCCATTTTGCAAAACGAGTGCCGCCACCTATAGTGAATTAGAATCGCCAGGCTAGCGTGGCTTCCGCACTGCTCCAACCAAGGAGGTTAGAAGTACTGGGAGGGGGCACGTTGCAATATTGGTGAAACCTAGTCATAAAAAGTTTAAACGATTTTGTGCCCAGCGTGTCCGCAGATCTCTCTGGCAATTGGTGCGCGTGACATGTCACGTGTGAGATGGATGGTTGATGGTAGTAGGACTCCTTGCAGGCTTGCGCGCGCTCCGTCCGGTAGGTTTTATCAGATCGAAGGCTAGACTGTGGTGTATTCTAGTACCCCATAGCAAGACGAAGGCTTGCTACGGTCACGTGATGTGTTCACGTTGGCATGGTAAGTGAGGAGAGTAAGGAGGAAAATGAGAAAGAGGCGAGGCGCCAAGGGAGCATGGCTTGTGGAGGCTACGCGGCCGACGTCATACCCTCTCCTACCCTTCTATTCTCCATGGCTCTAAAGGGGTATCCATACGAAGGAGAACTCCGCGGACGGATGTCGTGACGTCAGCGACCCGGGAAACTCCGTCCTCGGCTCCGCCGCGTGCACCTGCAGAGCTTTCGTGCTGTCAGCACGAAGCCTCCGCGCCTCCGCCACGGAGGAGAACGTGCCGCGAGGCGTCAAAAAGGGATGACGTATGTCTCACGTGATGCGCGATCCGCGGAGGAAAGTGGCGGATTTCTCCTTCGTGTGGATACCCCTTAACCACCAACGCTTCTCCTTCTCCCGAGAGTGAGTGCGCATGAGTGGAGACGACCCATAGACGTTTGCAAGTACGGCCCCTGGGCGCCGCCATCTTGCTGCTGGTGTGGGTAGATCGTCTGATAGTCAAGCATTGCTGGTGCGTACCCACGGCCTCAGCAATGCTTGACTATCAGTCTCAGACTAGAGCCACTGAACGAGCTGCGCTTAGAGTATCGGCACTCTGTTCCCCGCGCCGCCATTTTGGTGCTTGCCCAGAGCAGACACAAATGCCGATCGTCATGATTAAAAAATGCGACATCCTCAGCGTTAGATTCGATGTTAGAAAGCTCATGTAATATTTCTTTGCTGTATCGCGAACTGTTTAAACATTTGTGGAGGACGGAAAAGCGTTTCCTGTGATTTCAGCTAAAGCTTCAGATAACTGGCAACCATGATTTTAAGCCACAATATGGGCAAGTGTCGTTACTCTGAAGCTTAGCTTATTTAGTGGCAATATCTCAGACGATCTAC